TTATTATTATTATTATTATTATTATTATTATTATTATTATTATTATTCAAACACATATTGTTTATCTTTATTTTTTTAAATAAATATTAAAGGATTATATTTGAAATAATTGAAATGAAACAAAAAGATGTTTCGATTGAGATTAATGAAAGAGGCTAGAATTAATGTGTTTGTTTCTCTCCTTACTGAAAATTTGGAATGGAAAAGGTAATAATAGAATTAAGTATGCATATATGAATGTATAATTGCTGTCATATTTGTATGTAAAGGTGATGACCCGGAAATATGTTGTCCACTAAAAAGAGATTTTTGTTTTTATGTGAAAAACTGAATAAAATTTGTAAAAAAAAAACACCAATACTTGCTGGGCTGCACATGTATGCATGCACGTACATTATTTGAGTGCTTTCATTTTAAATCAAGCTTCATTTTTAATGGCTTAATCCTGTCTTCCCAGGCTCATGATCTAGAAAGGCAGAGGGACACAGAGTGAGAAGGTAAGGGCTTATTGATCAAGAGAGGTGGAACCATCAGTCAAGTGTCCTTAACACTTTAGCAAGCAGGTTTGCATGGAAAATGCCGGAATCACTGCAAGCAACAGGACCCCCATAAGCATGAACTGCATTCCAGACACATGGTTTACTTGAAGACGGGTTCATGCCTTTTACCTCTTTTCACCTTGAACTGGTACAGTTGCTACAAGAAGGTACTGGTTCAGAATGAAGAACTTTAGTTACTTACATGAGGGGAGCTATTAGGGTAGCTAAACTATATGGCTTCAAGATCCCAAACAATGGAAACAATGTCTATATAGCAGTTATCATCCATTGTTTATCAGCATTAGCTACATTGCCTCCAAACAGAAAATGAGTGGGATGGTTTTGGCAGGATGGAAACCAACATAAAAATTACCCCTTTGGCACCATGACTGTTGTCAGCTTTCATGAGGCTATATGAATGCTACTTCAGCACCTCATCCCCCAAGGAGTCCATCGTACACGGGAACTTTATCTAATATTAGCACTTCTTGATTATATCCAACAAACCAGCTGCATTAGACAAGTCTTCTGGAAATCCATAAAGGTAATTTTTGACATACGACCTTAATGCCTCTCTGTTACAGTTGTAAGTCATGACAATCAATCATGACCAACCCAATTTTGCAATATTTTTGCCACAGTTTTGCCATTGTAGCAAATACTACAATTGTTCAGCAAACCCACTGTTGACTTTGGGTTGGAATGTTTTGCCAAAAAGTAGAATTAATTGCTGTTGTCAGCAAAAATGTCATAAATTGCAATCATAGGATGCTGTAAATGGCTGTAAAAACAGGCTGGTTACCAAGTGCCTGAAATGCCTGTGGTTACCAAGTGCCTGTGGTCACGTAACAATGGAGGTGAGGGGAGGAGGGGAGGCAGCAGAACTTTGGAACTGGATTGTAAGTACCTTGAGAGGGGGGGTCTATCATAACTTCACTGATTGCTAAATGACTGGTTTAAGTTGAGAGCTACCTGTATACAGCCAATAGACCTTTCTGATGCTTGGACAGTCTTGTTGACGTCAACTTTAGTGTCTTGCTTATGTTAAGCTTCAGGTGGATTTAAAATGAAAACAATCACCACTAGTTTGGTTGATTTGTTTAGTTTTGATATACATGAGTAGTTTTGTCCATGATTCTCTTAACGTTGAGTTCTGATTGCATTTAAAAATAAAAAAGTCAATTCAACAGACATGATAGGGCTGTGCTGAATTTCCTGAATGATCTGCAGAGTCCTAATATGTAAACAGCTCTGCCTAGTGTCTAGAATACAAGCTGCGAAGGAAGAATGATCAAATTCTATCCACCTATGCTTAAAATGTTTTTGTTTCTGTATGCTGTTGTTTGGATCCTAGCCAGAATTTGTAAAAGCTATCACCGTCCTACAGAGGATTAATAAATTTAAAACAAACAGTGAAAAATCATAAACAATTCACAGTATAATACTATAATAATTGTAAAGTACTCTATGGCTTTTGGATATCTAATGTAAAATATTTAAAATAAAAACCATTCAGATAAATATTTTAGGTGTCATATCAAAATGGACACAGGGAAAATTAGTATTTTATATATGAACAAAATGAATGTTTATATTATACAAGTCTATTTATCTAGGTCAAGGTTGGTGAAGCTCTTTGCTCTGTATATAAGGAAGAATGGTCTAAATGCAAGGTTTCAACACCCTTTTAATCTACAACCAGGGAAAAAGAAATCTATAACCTCAGATTAACAACTGCTAATGCAATGAAGAAAACCTTCCTGCCACTATTAAACACATCTCCCCCTCACACACACATACACACACATGAAATAGTGTTGCCTCTGTTTCTTTCCTGATAAGAGTCTTAAATACCAAACAGTTAAATGCATAATAACATTTACTGGCAGCAAGACAGCCTGCTTAGCTGATACATAAAGCAGGTAAAAGGAGGAAAAGTTAATTTCTTGGCTGAATGATTCCATCGGTAGCTATAGGGCAAACTAGAAAGTCTTTCAGTAAAGTAGCAGTTGATTCTTCTATCAATCTGCAGCACACATACTCTTCCCAAGGAATGCATTAAATATGAAAATCATATCCTGTTATCATCTGTTTCCAGCTTTCAGCCCAGTAAGCTTTCCTTAATGAATGTTGTAGCCTAAGGGACAAGCATGCTGTTGGCTTTTCTGAATAATGGAGTGATGCTACCCATTTTGGCTTATTACAATATCGACTAGCTGAGGGGGTTTAACATATAGTCACAAGTGACTACTCTTGCCAGCATGCTCCAAGTTATTACAAGATGTTTTTAGTCATTTCATCTAAAAGAGCTTTCCTGCTTTTAGGGAAGAAAAACAGTTCTGGTCTTGAACTGTATCATTTATATGGAGATAGGAGGGGGGATTAGAAGGCTGCATTACTACAGATATATAGCAGAATATATTTGAGTATTACTTGTCGGCTTTGTCCGTGGTTTAGGTATGCAATCTTTGCTTTTTAGAGGGAAAAGGAAGGTCAAAATGTATGAAATTATAAATTCAACATATTTCAATTAAAATTTACAAGACACTATTTTGAGTCTAGAACTTAAGAATGAATGGTAGATGAATGGTACTAGGAAGTGAGGGTTTCAATTCCTGTTTATTAATTTCACAATGATTTTGCTTGTTACCTAAAATCATATTGTTTAAATGGCACGTGAGAACAGCAACACAAGCTTTACAACCAATTTTTTTTAAATGCAAAAACCTCAATTGATTGGGTCTATCATCCAATCTACCTTCTATTTCACTGATTCAAAAAGAAATATAAACATACCTGAATTTTCTCATTAAAATAATTGGAAAATAAATAACAAGGAAAAATAAGGAATATAAACTAAAAAGAAAGAAAAAATAAAATAAGGAAAATAAGGAAAATTGTTTTACATGCCTTAAGAATGTTCACTTACCTGATGTTTAGTAGCACCTCTCATTTCATGTTTAAACATATCTTTTCTCTCAACTAACAGCTTATTTTTAATTTCTTTTTCATATTCTGCCTAGTAAAAGGAGATATTATAAATAATAATTAAGCATTCAGGTTGTGATGTAGCCAAAGTTAAACAGATGTGTTTAACCAATTAAGCATATGTTTTACTTCTTCCTTTAAATTAAATACTTTATATGATTGGATTGTTTTGATGTAGTATATGTAGTATACAGTACAAAAATGAACATGTTTAAAAGCATTCTGAATAACATTCTCATGTAAATATTCTACATATATTATTTTTAATCATATTGAATATTGCATTTACCCCAAAATGTAATAAGATATTATTAATATGAGATGATTAAACAGAAAAAAAGATTTTACAGAACAAAATTCACATGCCTCCCTTACCATGTTCTCACAAATTTAAAACAACTCTCCAATTTTAAAGTTAATTTATTTGTAAAATAATTAAGCTTACATTTAGATATAGTATATAAAATGGTTCCAAAGCTAAAATAATGTAAATGCTTCCATTTTATATAAAATCAACTATACTAATTTAGTCAAGTTTTTCATTAGTTCTTCATATCTTCTAAATAAGCAGCCACAGCCAAGCTGTATATTTTTATACTCTTTTACGTAAGAATTATCTGAAACTACACACAAAGTTTTAGAACTTTGTTAATTGCTTCTTCAGAGTTTGAAACAAATTCTTTGTTTTAGGTAATATGTACATAATAGACTTTTCTTAAATTCAAAGTGCGTAAGAACTATGAATTAAAATGTGTACATTTGGCAAAAGGCAGCAAAGGTGATAATACAGTAAATTCAGCATAAGACCTTCTTCTAAAACATGAGCATTTGAGAACGATATAATAGTTATGAAAAATCACTCGCTGCACATGGAGAATAACAAGAATTTGAAATAAAATGAAATATCAAGAAGTATTTTCAGTATATTCTTTTAGATCCTGTTTCACTGACATCACAATCGAATTACATATTTAACAATTAAAGTTCAGGTACGTAAATAATGTTGCAAGAGATATTCAGGACCCTTAAGCTCTCCAGCCCTCCCTCATTTCCAAAGCTTTAAGAAGATGAAAACAGGACCCTACTGCTCTTTTTCCCTATCAACTTATGTCACATAAGATTTCCTGAATAGGCACGTCAGGCCCCTTCAAAGTTATTTATCACAGATAAAACACAACATACCTTTAGCTTTTGAAGAGACTCTGATCTTGAAGCAAACTTCCTAATGTGAGCTTCAATGCAATCAAATTCTTTTAATAAATCTTGGTTTCGGAGCAGAGATTTCTTCTGCCGTTCACATATTTCATTTAAATATTTTTTTAGATTTGTATATTTCAATTTAGTTCTACACAGAGATCAACAAAAGTCAGTCATAAACTGTACCATCTTATTTTTGTAAAGAGAAACATTTTTTAAATACACACAGGATTATCAAATGAATTTTTAAAAGTTAATGGTTGACAGAACTATAAAAATGAATCATAATCAATGTTTGGGGTTATTCATTTTTTACTTTAAAAGTACAAATTTATTTCTTCAACAGCAAATTCAGGACAACAATTTAAAATTTCTCCAACAAAGTACAACCCAATTATAATCTGAGTGTAGGTGCAGCCCAAGATCATCTCACTTGTCCCTCCCCTTTGCTTGCTTGTATATGTTGAAGGAAGAAAAGCACCACTGCAAACAGGGTTAGGTCTAAATGAACCATCTCTGCAGTAGTCAAATTATACATGCACTAGCTGAACTCCTAAAATAGTACCTTCTTCCTTTGATTCTTTCAACCCAAAATTTCTACAGAACATACTGATAGCATCCACCTGCCATTGTAAAAGAGTAGTTATTAAATCCTTCACACAAGGTATTCTGGATTAGTTATAAGAGCACATGCAAAACATTTTCAAACTGGTAAACACCTGCATTTTTTCCCAGGCTCACAAAGCTGCTTCAGAAACTACTTCTGTGACTCTGCCTAGGACATGTGAGCCTGTGAAAAAGACATGGTAGCTTTAACAATTCAAAAAGAGATGTTTTGTATCTGCTCTCCACACATTTCAAGGAGCCTCTTTCAAAAAATTTGCATAGGCTCACTCTGAACTATTCGGTATTCTGCAGCTATTTGGTTCTATGTCTGGATATGGGCATATGATATGCTAGGCTTCCTTAGGGCAAGTTGAAATTCATCACAGAAAAGAAAACTTACTCACTTATTAAATAGTCATCAAAATATATGCATGCCACAAGAAAGGTATAACTTTAAGAAAGAGTGGGAAGCCAAGGGAAACATCCAATCAGCTGATTAAGTTATGTTTGGGCAAGGAATCCTGTAAGTATCTGATTTCCAAATTAAGTTTCTGTCTACTTTCTAAAAAGTTTCAACAACACTGTAGTCTGTATTTTAAAATAAGACTTTAGAAATACCAGGAAAGTAGACTGCTAGTATTCTACGCAAGTGGTCAGTCCAATATATTTGCTATGCTATTTCAGCTGGTCAGTTTTATTTATTTATTTATTTATTTATTTATTGATTCATTCATTCATTCATTCATTCATTCATTCATTCATTCATTCAACTTCCGTAGCCCAACTCAACCAAATGACTCTTGGAGGCTTACAATTCTAAAATTCTAAAATAATTAAAAACAATTCCAACAAAAACATCAACAAAATAAATAAACAGCAGCCATGATGATTAATCTAATTATTTTGACTTTACTAATAGTAAAGCCAAAAAACAGAACCTTAACACATTCCAAGCCCTGGGTACATAGCCCAACTACATAATCAAGTTTTAAAGTCTTTGTACAATGCCAACAGGGTCTAATCTTTGAGAGGAGAATATTCCATAAGGCAAGAGCTACAGCTATCTTCCAGTTCCTACCAGTTAACACTTTGGCTGACAGACACTATGCCCAATCTGGATTAGAAACTCTTGGAAAAAGACAGTCTTTCAGATAAGCCAGTCCCAAGCCATATAGAGCTTTAAAGGTGACAACCAGCACCTTGAATTGCACCCAGATTTAGAGGTCCAATATAACATGAGACATGCTTTGTTCTGAATAGTTGAACTGCATATTCTTTACTTTTCCATACAATTAATTTCAAACATAGTGGCTGACATGTATTTATATCACTATTTTTCTACATCATCTGGTCTATTTTTATTCAGTGGTGAACTAGAATTAGGGTTTGCTTTCCTTGGATGCCTTCTCTCCACTCATCTTCCCCATTCCAATTTTCAATATACTTACATCCATAAAAATCTAACACTCTCTCTCTATACACACACACACACACACACACACACACACACCAATCAGCACTGGAATTAATCATAGTTAAATAAATTTTAAACATCTATAGTTCCATACTATACATTACATAATAATACATAGTAAAATATAACAACATGTTGATTTAAAAAGCTTACACGGAAGTATCAGGTGTGCTGTATTCAAGCATTTTCCTTTCCAATTCCACCCTCTTTGATTCACTAAAACAAACATAGAATGGAGTTACTGAATCTTCTATATATCAAAAATAATTTTACAGTACACAAAGAGAAACTATATAGCTTTGTAAAGCTTCCAGAGTTTTGGGAGTTGTATGATATATAAATTTTGTGATATATAAATGCTCCCAATGACCTTAGACTCCTTCCTCTACCACATGTCCCAAATATTGATACATTACAATTCTTATTTAGATAAGATTATACAGTTATTAGAGGTCACATCATGATAGATGAGTAATTACAGGTGAACATTTACTCTATAATTATCTTTCAGAGATCACAATATATAAGAAATATTTATAATATCTAATTACACAGCACTAGGATCATGCACTACTGAAAGATGTCAAATTAAATACACACATTAAGAAGTCCTCTGGGCCAGGGGTCACCAACCTTTTAGACCTCAAGGACCACCAAACTCATAATTTTAAATCCCAGGGACCACTAACTGGTTCTGTGGGTGTGGCCTAATTTGTGGGTGTGGCTTGGTGGTCATGTGACTGGGTGGGCATGGCTTGTACGTAAATATTATATTTATATAAATATTGGATTTTTTATTAAAAAATAGCAACTTTTACCCAAAATCATGCAAAGCAGGCAGGCAGGCAGAGTTGCTCACAGAATCACAGATTCATTCAGAAATCTATTTGCCATTGGCTAGCTCAGACTGTCACATAAAATTTGCTTGCAAGTAAACTCATAAAATTAACTCACAACACACCATGTATGTAAATATTGAATTTTTTATTTAAGAGCAACTTTTACCCAAAATCAGGCAAAGCAGGCAGGTAGGTTGAGTTGCTCACAGAATCATTCAGTGATCAATATATCTGCCATCGGCTAGCTTGGTCTCTCAAATTTGCTTGCCGTGAGTCTGCACTGAATAATAGAACCTTCAGTCCTAAGGGAGGTTCGGCTGTGCTTAAAAGCAGAGCTGAAGATCTAAAGACTAGCTAGAAAGCAAGAAATCCAACCATTTCCTGCTTCCTAGGTAATCTAAATCTCCTGGCACAGCAGAACAGATGATGGTCGGAAAGAGTAAAAATAGCAATTTAGCAGGCATGTTTGCCAGGTCAGGAGTGAGTGGGCGGGGAGGGTTCCCGCGGGCCATGTGGACTGCGCAGCCTTGTGTTTCTGCGCAGCCTGGATTAATTGCTTTGCAGGGGGGTGCTCTGGGGGTGAGATTTCTCTGTGGTACATCAAAATTTTCTCATGGCCCACCAGAGGGCCGCAGCCCACTCTTTGGCGACCGCTACTCGGGGTCATATGTCTTTTCACATATTAGTGCTATACATGCCCTACATTTGCCCTAGTAACCACAAAACATTTTAACATAGTATTTATTAATTTTATGTCTGGAAGGACAACTGTCTTCAATAACAAAAGTAAAGTTACAATGTTGTTTGCCAAACATAAAAAAATAAAAATTGTGTACCACTGCAAACGTTGCAGAAGCCTCATTATTTTCTTCTCTTTCTTTCCTGTACTATGGCTTCAATAAACAAAGAGGTAAATAGTGATAACACGAGGGCAGAAAACATCTCTGAAGACTAATTCTCTGAAACTATTAGTAAATTATGCTTTTTTTAAAAAAAATTGTAGTTTTATATATAATCTTGGCAAGAACTTCAAAATCAGAACATTTTGTTCTAATTTGCTTTCAACAATTTATTTTGAATTTTGATAGGTTTAGATATTGTTGTCTTCTTATGGACATAATCTTAATTAATTAATTTGATTATTTAATTTTTTATAAGCTGCAAGCTATACTGAAGCCTATTTTGCAAGCTATTTTGATTTTATTTTGGCAAAAGAAGTCTTATAGCACTCTAAATTAAGCTACCATATCTGGACAAAAATGTGGATGAACAATAGATGGCAAAAAACTAATACAAAAAATTGTTAATATTTGCTGCCATTCAATGCTCATCTCATACATAATATCCCTTTGCATCCCATACATAGTATCCCTATTTAAAATCTAGTTAAATTTATTATCATATAAAATTTTGCTTGGAGTATGATCCAGTATATATATAAAATGCTATAAATGCAATGAGCATTGTATCAGAGAAAACAAACAGATTTTTATTTCTATTTGTGTCAAGCATATAATAAAGGCAGCATTAGTTGTATTTGGTTACAATTGGAAGTCTCAGTAGAGATACAGATTTCAAACATGAATAATAGAGAGTATAATTATAGTATCTACTACCAAGAAAAGAAGTAATGCATATGAAATTGATACATCGGCTTCTTATACTATTTACCTCAACTTTTATGTCTTTTAAATAAATGTAATTGCTTTAGATAAACGGCAGATTATTGATATAAGATTTACTTTACAGAAGTTTGAAAGATTCTTCTCTGAAGTAGATGCTTCCCTGAAGCAAGTTATTCTGCTACAGATGTATTTCTCATATAATGATATTGTCAGTACATATAAAGGTCACTCCTTCCCCCCAGGTTAGAGAATACCTCTGATTTCTCTGCTCTGAGTCAAGCTCTAGTGCAAAATCTCAACCAGAATGAACCCCAGAAACTCTCTGCTCAGAATCTGATCTCAATTTATAATGAAATGATTTGGAATGAATGAATGAATTCTTTATTGGCCAGGTGTGATTAGACACACAAGGAATTTGTTTTGGTGCAAATGCTCTCAGTGTACATAAAAAGAAAAGATACATTTGTCAAGAATCATAAGGAACAACACTTAATGATAGTAATAGGGTACAAATAAGCAATCAAATCATACTAGGAAACAGTCAATATAAACCAGTTACAGTCATAGAGTCACAAGTGGGAGGAGATGGGTGATAGAAACAATGAGAGGATTGATTAATGCAGACTTAGTAAATTGTTGGACAGTGTTGAGGGAATTTGTTTAGCAGAGTGATGGCTTTCGGGGGAAAAACTGTTCTTGTGTCTAGTTGTTCTGGTGTGCAGTGCTTTATAGCGTCATTTTGAGGGTAGGAGTTGAAACAGTTTATGTCCAGGATGTGAGGGATCTGTAAATATTTTCATAGCCTTCTTTTTGACACATGCAGCATACAGGTCCTCAATGGAAGGCAGGTTGGTAGCAATTGCTTTTTCTGCAGTCCTAATTATCCTCTGTGTCTGTCTTCTTGGGTTGCAGAACCAAACCAGACAGTGATAGAGGTGCAGATGACAGACTCAATAATTCCTCTGTAGAACTGTATCAGCAGCTCCTTGGGCAGTTTGAGCTTTCTGAGTTGACCCAGAAAGAACATTCTTTCTTGTGCTTTTTTGATGATGTTTTTGATGTTAGGTGTCCATTTTAGGGCTTGAGATATGATAGAACCTAGAAATCTGAAGGTCTCTACTGTTGATACTGTGTTGTAGACTGAAGCAAAGGCAACATCTAGAAAGCTAGAAGAGCTGAGAGAGAGAGAGAGGTGGAAATACATAATTATTGGTGGAATGAAAGAGAAATGTGTCTTTCTCTGTGTGTGTGAGAGAGAGAGAGAGAGAGAGGGAGGGAGGGAAGGAGAATGGGGGGATGGGAGGGAGAGGGAGAGAGATCCAGTGTGTTTCTTGGCCTTTGGGGTCCATGTCTCTATTCAGTCAGGACATAGTTTAAGTGTCTTCAAAACATTATTAAGAATCTTCAGTCTTGATCAGGCATGCAGGGACAAATAAAATAACATGTAAAAAACCCCAAATAGACACACTTATTTGCTCAATATCACACAAGGCATTTGAAAGTGTGTAGTTGCATTGGCTAAATCTATATTTGGTCATTTGCACATTTCTAGCCAAGTGAAAAATACCTCAAAAGATCACCTCTGCACATGCATATAATAGTGGTATTTCCACTATGATACAAATACTGAACCATATATTTCCAAGATCCTGAAGCACAGGGAAACTACCAGAAGACTGGAAAAGGGTTGATGTAGTTCCCATCTTCAAAAAAGCCTGACATCAATATCTGGGAAGATTCTGGAAAAGATGATCAAGCAATGGTAGTCTGAAAATAGCAAACAAACGAGCCACGGTGTCTCTGCTAGCTAAAATGGGGTGCCCTCCGCAATCGCTTTTGGACTCTGGAGTCCTCCGGGAGGCCTTCCAGCCCAAAATGGAGCCTCTGGAGTGATCCAAGAAACCATCCTTGACTCAGAAGGTTACAAAAGGGAGGTAAATAAAAAATTTTACCTTTCAGGCTTGCAGGATTCTGCTACTGTAGCCTACGTCAATAGTTTTGTAGTTCTAGTCTTCCTATGGAGTCAGTTTGTTGATCTGGTCTGTCTCTCATAAGGTGATCAAGTAAGCATTAAAAAAATAAAATAACAGAAATATATGCCTCCCTATTTTTATAAGTTTATAAAACTGTGTCTACGGAGGTCCCGTTTTACGCCTACCATGGCCAGGCTCACTATGGTCACGGACCCACTGGCCCTCCAAGGTCAAACCCAATCCTGATGTGGCCCTCAAAGAAATTGAGTTTGACACCCCTGGTATAGGGGGTTGGACTAGAATCCCTTCCAACTCTGTTATTCTGTTCTGTCCTTGCTTACCACCACACTAACTGGGATTGGAATTTCCATTGCTAGGTGATGCAGTTGTCAAGTGCAACATTACATGAATGTGCTGCTTAGTGATGGCAGGTCCAGCACTCCCCAATCATTAAGTAATATCTATACAGGTCATGAAGTGAGAACCTCATCTGACTGTAACTTCCTTGTAGGAAGATGGCAGGGGAGGTTGCAAATTGTCATCATGTGACCATAGAATACTGCAATAGTTAGAAATCCAGGCTGGAAATCTAGGCTGGTGGCCCAGCACCTAAACCGTGACCAAGTGAGCACAGAGTCTCTATGATGGTCAGAACATCAAGGACCAAGTACCGTATTTTCCGGACTATAAGCCTCTACTTTTTTCCCACGCTTTGAACCCTGCGGCTTGTACAACAATTGGGGCGTTGGTCCTTACCTGATACGCCCCTTCTAGGCGAG